CCCCTCTCTCTCTCTCTTTTTCTTTCTCTCTCTCTCTACTTCTACTTAGTATTTATTTAAAGAAAATATAGCGCAGAACTACCATCCAAGATCGTACAATATACACACAAAAGTTCATCTTTGTCCGATTAATGCACTAATATGGTCTGAAGTATTACTGGCCGTTCGATCGAAAAAAGTAAATGTAAAAGTGAAGTAAGTTTGAATGAAGTATTATTACACCGACTGCTCACAGTTAGGCTAGGACACATCTCAAGGAAAAAATCGTCACCATATATTGTGGTAAAATACTATCACTTGAAATTTCTTCAGACCTTTGCCCTCCAAACTACTGCGAGAATGGCGGCCAGTGTTCTGGTGACAAGAAATGTACATGTGATGATGACCACTATGGGGCAAGGTGCCAGCTGGACAGTAAGTTTCCGGCTATAATATTTCTTAACTTTTGATTTCTCTTTTTTGTAAATTAAAAGTTGTTGTTTTTTTAAATCAGCATTACGTGACCCCGGTGCTTTCTTGTCGTACCTCCATTTTTTTATCAGTGAAAATGTGACATACTGTTTTCACTGTTATTGAAAATGGAGATACGACAAGAAAGCAGTGAGGTTGCAATTAGCGATATGCCAAAAAAGAGAGATGAAATTGGCACTCGATTGTGATGGTTTTATCACTTAAGTGAATATTGTAGTGAGTCTCTACGGGGTGCCCACTACGGCTGGATCGTGCTGATCGCCCGACTCGATCGCCTGGAACTGAAAACAAACACGTTTGTTTTTGAGGCGATCGAGTCGGGTGATATGCCCGATCGGCCGATCCCGTCCGTAGGGGGCACCCCGTAAAACACTCAATTAACTCACAACACAGCAGCTAACATGATCATGACTTCGCACGGACTTGGCTCACACGAAAAACACCACCTGACCCGACTGTCCTACTCGGCCAGTCGATTAGAAAACTCCGGTGAGTAAAGACCTACCACAATATATCTATTTTAAGAAAGGAAAATTTATATTAAAATAACAGATTGCTCCTAAAATAATTAGATCTATATATAATTTTGTGAAAACCACCATTCCACCATTCCTCAGAAAATTGAGAATAATGAGTGCCGTAAATAGAGACGATTATAACTGAGTTTGCGCCTGACTTCGTATTGATACCCTGAAGTACTCGAGGAAGTAAAGGTTTTCCCACAGGTTTTTAACTTTGGATAATATTGTAACGGAAGAGTTACATCCATTGGTTATGCTTTCACTTTTCTCAGAAACAGACATAGTTACTAAAGACGTTGGGTTCAAGGAAAAAGTGAACAACACCATCACCACGTCCGACCCGAACGTCAACCTTACTGCCGCTGGTGACGTCACGGTGATCAAATCTAACTCAACTGACGTCATCCAGCTCACCAATGGCGGTTCTGTGACTTTCCCGGATGATGAATGCCTGAAAGACTTGAACAAATGCACGTCTGGCTTTACTTTGACCCTGGTGATTGACGTTCTCACCATCAAAGACGACCCTCTGGTTATTTTGACAACGACAGGAGGCACACCTGGCTCGCAAGGTAGCTAGAGATGGTGCAGATAGATTATAACGTTTTCGAAACACACACATACACACACACACACACACACACACACACACACACACACACACACACACACACACACACACACGCACACACACTTACATACAATAAGAGATATATATATATATATATATATATATATATATATATATATTAATGTATACGTATATTATGTAATATATATAAACACACATTTTAAAGGAAGACGTATATCATAAACAAGCAAATTATTCCTTTTTGTTTGGAACATTTGACCAGTAAACCTCGTAACATGAGAAATGTTTTGTTCAATCAGGACGGATTCTGGACTATGAATGTCTAGAAGTCGAAAATAATCTGTTTGTTTCTAAAGGTCCCTGATCGGGTTTCTCTGTCATGACTAGACATCATACTTCTTGTCTGATTTTATTGTTGTCATTTTTGTGTACGTCTGTTCAATGTATGCACTTATTGGGGGCATTCAACCATTTTATTTCAAATTCTATAACTGTTTGATTCCTTTATACGCTATACTATGTCGTTTGGTTCATGGTAGATAATATCAAACATTTCAATTACTTTTGCATGTAAAGATTCACCAGCAAATAAGGAGTAGAAAAGTGTTTACTGAACAATGTTTACGTCAGTTGTTTTTATACACAAATTAGATTGTTCTAGTACAAATAACATTGTTTCTACAGGCATGAGAGAACTATCTAGTAAGGCAGCATTTACCTATGGATGCGTTTGAAACGTTACAGAAAAAAAACTCAACATATCAACAATTTAGTCCTTGCTTCTACGCCATTGAGACAAACTTTTATTCTTTCTAAAACTTTTCTCGAGTCTGAGCTGGTCGTCCGACAATGTTTGCAAAGAAAAATGAAGTCGCAGTAGTTTGTATTTGCGAATAAACAATTAAGGGAGTCCATTTTGCTCAACAATATTGGCGGATAAGAAGAGACAAAGTTTTATTTCCATAATCTTTTCATCATACGACATTTCTTTGGACTACGAAGCTTTAATCAGTCTCAGCTGCCTCTTAGAACTAAAACTTAATCAAAATGAATTGTGTTTGTGAAGTCTTTGTCAACATCGATAATGAAAAATAACACAATTAATGACTGACCCGGCAGACGTGGGACTGTTCTTTGATTGTTTTTGGTTGGATATCATTTGTACAGCCTCATTCTTAAAAAGTCTAACAAAGTTAAAGTAAGCACGTAAAAATACAACATAAACCCACTCTCTCGCACAGCTATTGTTCAGACAACAATCGCAATAATTCCAAAGCAAACTCGTCTTCTTGTTTAATTCTTTTTTATCCAGATTGTTAACGATAATTAGACCTCTATTTTCAGCGTTACTCGCATCTTTGTTTCGCCCACAGGCCTTACTTTGATCTATGATCGGTTGACTCAAAAGGTGACCTTTTCTGTAAGAACCCGCCATGTAGCCTGGACAGTGACAAGCCTCCTCAAATGGCAGGAAAATACTTGGTACAAAGTGACAGTTACCTGGAGCCCATCTTCTGGATGTGGGGTACGTAGAGCTTTGACGGTTATACAGAGAGTCAGTATGACATCAGATAATCGTGTTTCTAATTTCTGTAAAAGTGTGCGTTTTTATGCTTACCCTTGTATTAATATGTCTTTATCTCTCTCAGCCTCTCTAACTTTCTCTTTCCATCTCTGTCTATCTGTCTGTCTGCCTGCCTGTCTGTCTGTTTGTCTGTCTATCTGTCTGACTGTCTATCTGTCTGTCTGTCTGTCTGTCTCTCTCTCCCTCTCTCTCTCTCTTTCATTATATATATTATATATATATATATATATATATATATATATATATTATATATATATATATAAAAAAAATATATATATATATATATATATATATATATATATATATATATATATATATATATCACCTCTCTTCGTTTTTCTCTTTCTCTGTGAGTGTGTGTTTGTCTGTGTACTAGTCTTCTCCTTTTTTAAAGGTTACGTTGAGTCCAATACAAAGAGTATGATTGCCTTCCAAAGATACTTAACGCCTACATAGAGGAATTGATCGATCGTAAGTCTATACCAAAAAAAAGAGTTCTAGATTTTATCTCATAGTAATAAAGGTATAATAAAGGTATGCATTTACACTTCCTTATTAATTGTTTATTAAGACATTGCTTGTATCAAAAAAATTAGATTTTCTACAAAGAGTGAGACTTTTTTAAAGTGTCACTGCATTATACTTGTAACTCAGACAGCCCCAGGGAATATAATTGTATACTAAGTCATAAGTGTACTGGAAAGGGGGATGGGGGGGGGGGGGCTAAACGTCTCCTTAGCAGGGTGCCTCTCGTACGTCTTTCTGGTGTAGGTCCTAGATGTGAAACTTTTAAAGTCTGTTATTACTGGAACTTCTTTTCGCCTCTTTTTCCGTTCTAATATGAAATCAAAGGCAAGGTCCAGTTGCCTACTCGTGAAGAACCCCCGCCCACATCTTTCTGTTGCAAAACCACTTCGAGAGTCCCACCTAAGACTCATGGTCTGTTTGTGTCATGTTAGGGGAAATTTTTTTTTTTTAAATTTATGATATAATATTCTTTTTAAAAACAACGAACGTCACTTCGTCTTCCAAATGTAATGTCTTATCTAGAAAAGCGATGAAGCCATATTAGACAAGAAACAAAATGACAACGGTATTTGAATGATGGATTCCAGCTGCTTGTTGATGGTGTACTCACTGGCTCTGTCTTCGGCGGCACTTACGTTACAACTGGTGGATCGTCCAAGCCTCTGTGTCTGGGCTGTGGCCTCGTGAGCACCAAGGTCACGTCCACAGTCCTCATTAAGCTGATCACCACCGTGCACGTCTACATCTCAGACCTGACAAAGGCTAACGTGATTGGTGATTAACTATTCAGTACTCTTTTGTAACTGTAATAAAGCACCTAACTTTGATGGAAGTTAAAATAGCTTAAGTTGCTAACATTCTGATGTTGTTGGTTTCGTTGCTAATATCGATCCAGTAGGGTGTTGAGCCTTTGCCTTGAGTTTAATTAGTTGCAATATTATTTACTTGTCTGAATCAGTTGTTTTGCATTTGTCCAAGAAAAATGAGTTATTGTTAGCTATTATGATCAGCTACTAAGCTGCATTTACAGTAAGGATGATGACTCGTAGACTGCTACAAACTCCACCCTAAAACATATGAGTTTAACCATAAATGAGATGCATTTTCGTTTCTATACGACAGGTTTTATAAGTGTGATGAGTTAATTAGAATAAAAAGTGTTCTCTGATTGAAATAATCGTAATCAGCACGAATAAATCGTTAAATATCCAATGCATTTTGCATATTACTGTTATGCCCACTCTTTAACGTACGTTTCTTCTTGTGGTAAATTTATGAACAGCATGTCTTAATGCTTTTTATGCAAGTTAGATAACTTGGTACATGGTCCACAGATGTTGCCACCACGCCAGCTCCACCAACCACTACCGCAGTTTCCCCAGCGCCAGGTATGACAAGATGCAGAAAAGAAGCTTTATTCGTACTATAAACGAGGTTTTAGCTAGACTATTTTTCCGACTGAGATCATGTCAATGATAATGCCTGTCTGTAAAGAAGATGAAGATTGTATGATCATGATGAATATTGTTGTAGATGTGATCGGTGTTTTTCATTTGTTTGGGGGCGCTCCACTCTTACATGTTTTCTTCTATTTCTTCTCTGCTTTTCCAATGACTGAACGAACGTCACTTCACGGACCTTTGTGAAGTAAAGCACCCTGTCTCTGGCCACTCTGCCTACTCAAGTAATTTTGGTTTTAAACCAGGTTTTTATGTCTTCTTCCCTTTTTTTGCAAGGTCTTCCCCTTCTTCTCTTGCTTTTTACCCTTGATTCCACAGTTATATAGTTATTGTTTCATGACTTAATTGATATACCCAAAATAGTTCAGCTTCAGTCCTATCATGTTCTGGGAGAAATTTGGCTCTTGTATGCCAATCTGTCTTAGTATTTCTTCATTTGGTATTCTTAGTCTTCACGAATTCTAAGAGTTCTCCTCAATAAAATTTATTTCTGAAATCTGCAATCATTAATCTAAATGTTAATATCTCTTTGCTTACTAAATTTCGCATACCAGGCTTCGTCGGTATAAATTTCAAAGAAATGGACTAAGAATAATATATTATAAAATACCAAGGCTGACTTTGGCGCTCGGTGCCCCTGACTCTCGAAGATCAACACGAGCCTTTAGAACTTTTTACCGGAATTTCATTTCAAAATTATCTTACCATTGTTTTAACGGAATCATTGAATCTACTGGTTTTCGCACCTTGGCCGCATCTTTTGTTTTGAAAAGGACAAAAATACAAATATTTCCAAGTCCAGTTTCATGTGACATATTTTTCTCGACAGCTTGTAAGACTAAGCTGGGTATGGAGTCCGGAGCCATCAAGACTGACCAGATCTCCGCTTCTTCCAGCTTACCTGGACATGGCACAGAGAAAGCTAGGGCTGGGTGCTGCAAAGGTAGACAAGGACAACTCTCATGTCTAATTTCAAAGTGTAAATTGAATACCTTAGGAAACATTTTTGAATTTTGGCAATTATCTTTTATGGACCAACTGCAATTAGATATATTCGAAAATTAACTACAACTGGACTTTTGCAAATGGTTAACTACACGTGTTTTGTGGTCTTTTTTTTAGATGTGTTTATTATTATTATTTTTATTTATTTTATATTTTTTGCTTTCACATGTAACTGGTATAATGGTGGGTAGGATGGTTATAATGATTTTGTTGGAAAAGACAGTTGGGGGGAGGGGGAGCCAAAACAGTTACCTAGTAGCTTATTAACTTGATATTTTGCTAATGCAATGTTCTAATGAATATTAACATCATGGGTCCTTTTTACCAGCTATTTTAAGCAATTTTGAAAGGATTTTGAAGTTAACCATTACTGCACTCTAATACCTTTATTCTCTCTTATGACTTAGGAGAAGAAGATGGCGGGTGGTGCGCAGACCCAAAGGACCCCAATCCATGGATTCAGGTGGACTTGGATCAGGTGACTGCAGTGTCGGCCCTCAGTTTCCAAGTGCCTGAGCGTGTCTCACCCACTGGTATCCCCCCCAACTATGTCAAAAGGGTCAGACTGGAGTACAGGGACGCGAGCACCAACACAACCACATACAAAGCTTACAGTGCTGTGAGTATATAATTGCACCCAAAACAGTTCACACGTAACAACGTTTATCAGTTTTATGAATAGCTCTTTTTCTCAACAAACGTTCCATCTGAATATGTTTTTAAAATGTCAAGGAAGATTGAAATATTCAAACAGGACTTTGAGCTTTAAATGCTATTCAACGCAACGGTAGAGCTATCCAGGAAATCCAGAGACGCTTTTAAAAAATCAAAAGAATCTCAACAGAAACCGATAAGAACCCCTTTTCTCCCCTCCTCCGGTTTTTTTTAAGAGTTAGTAGTTAGTGTCTTAGAGTTATGCATAACAGGCTTGAAAACGAGGTGATTGAGCATGACTATGTGCTAATCTTAAGCCTTGAAAAACTGGGTGTCTTCAGAGGAAGTGGCAGAACCAGCATAGTACATGGGATGGAAAGACGGGCTATTAACCAAATGAACACCGGAACGATCAGCAGATGGACTCTAAGGTGGATATTGGAGCAGGGAGTGGAGCACGTAGGGCAATGCCCGGAATGCTAAGATGTTGTTACCATGATCAAGTAATCAAGTAATCAAGTCTCAGAGTACGTTAAAGCCGTGACGAACTGAAGTACAAGCTTTTTTTCATCTTGCCCAACCTGGATTTCTGAATAAGGAAGTTCTAGTTTTCAGGCAGTATTTTAACTGTAAAAGCAGTTATTACTTTTTTTCATCCCCTATTTAAAATGTTAAAACTGAATGGTCGTGGCAAATGGAATGGAATCAAAGCGCACATATGAAAGGCATAAAAAAAGAGGTGACTTGCACTAGACTAAGAGCAGACAGCATAATTTTTTGTCGGGTATGACGATTTTCAAAAAGTATTTTTGAAAAGTATTTTTGCCGTGGTTTCCTATTTTTCAATGAATAAAACCAAAGGAACTTTTAAACTTATGGTCACATTCTATGTCCTCAGGACTTCCCGGCGACCCTAAACGCCACAGTGGCCTACATCATTGAACTCAGACCAAAAGTAGTCACGGACTCGGTACGCATTTACGTCACAGATGCCCACGGTGTTGCTTGTATTCGCTTTGATCTGATCGGATGCGACCTTCAAGGTAAAAAACACAATAAATGATGCAAAAGTTGTGATTTTGTTTCATCGACTCTTTATGCTTGGAAATCAGTCGGCTATTAATTTTTGATTACTTAGAATACTAGCTTCGTTTAGTTAAATACAAATCATCTATTGTGTGTTGCTCTTTGAGCACTGCCATCAAGCTCAATAAAAATGTAGGCCAGCACGACAAGAACCCTCTGCGGCAAACTATATTCAGCAGCATTTTGCATAGATCTGTCATTTCTCTTTGTGGGTTACTCTGGTTGTATGTGCGTGAGTGAGTTTGTGTGTGTGTGTGTGTGTGTGTATGTGTGTGTGTGTGTGTGTGTGTGTGTGTGTGTGTGTGTGTTTGTGTATGTGTGTGTATGAGAGAGACAGAGGGAGAGAGCGAAGGAGAGAAGTTTCCTCTATTAACGTTTATGTATTTCTGTGTATGTCAACTTGTGTCTCTATGTTTGTTTGAATGTGGGTGCGTCTGTGCATGCATGCGTGCGTGAGTGCATGCATGCCTGCGTGAGTGCGTGCTTGCTTGTGTGTATGCATTCATGCATGCATGCGTGTGTGCGTGCGTGCGTGTGTGTGTTGTGTGCGTTGTTGTACGTTTGTTTGTGTGTGTGTTTGTCTGTATGTGTGTGCGTGTGTGTATGTGTGTGTGTATGTGTGTGTGTGTGTGTGTGTGTGTGTGTGTGTGTGTGTGTGTGTGTGTGCGTGTGTGTGTGATGCAGTTTTCCTAATTAAAATCAGAAATAGGTGTGCTTTCAAAATTTAAAAAATAAAAATAATACGTGGGTCTATGTTTCTTACGTTTGATTTGTTATCTGAAAATCAATCATGAAGAATATTGATATCTACTCCGAACAATCGTAAGCTTTTGATAGAGCAGATAGAACATTTGGTTTTCGATCTTGTGGACTTAGTAACTCAAAACAATTAGATATATCAGTTAGAATATTGTCCTTCTGAGGTTACGTTATGCCTTCAAGACTTATTCATGTGGTAATAAATATATGCTGTAAGGAATAGCGGATGTGGGGGAGGGGGTGGAATAATATATCTTCTATACATGATCCCCACAACTGTCTGTCTGTCTATTCAAATTTTCAGACGTGTGTCCAACAAACTACTGCCAGAACGGTGGTCAGTGTAGCGGGGAGAAGACATGCACCTGTACAGATGACCACTACGGTGATCGTTGCCAGCTGGACAGTAAGTAGTCTGTGGACTTTGTAGTTTGGCTGTGAATCTTTAGGGCGTGGGATACCAGATTTTTTAAATAGGGAAGCACCAAAGAAGTACAAAAACCTCAGATAAAATGTGTCGTAGTATTAACTTGTTTTAAGTTTAAGTAAGAGATTACTGCACTTGCAACACACATAGGCCGTACTGTAATTGCCGACGATTAGTGGTGTTGCCAGAGAGTAACACCCAAAAGAAAAAGAAGGTGGAGGGAGTAGGACAACAAGTGTTTTATAGGAAGGAATGAGAAAACCATACGACTTGTTTAAGGTAAAATAATGATGGTGCTATTGTAAAAGGTAGTGTTATTCATAATACCTTGACATGTGTTAGGAAAAAAATGCACCCAAGGCTGAAAGGGAATTTATTTCACAAGTTAAATCTTATAGGTGAAATGTATTTTATTTGAAAGGTACGATGTTGGAGACGTTTTACACTCTCATCAGCATCATCAACATCATCATCATCATCATCATCATCATCATCATCATCATCATCATCATCATCATCATCATCATCCTCAGCAGCAGCAGCAGCAGCAGCAGCAGCAGCAGCAGCAGCAGCAGCAGCAGCAGCAGCAGCAGCAGCAGCAGCATTCTCTCCTAAACGAGTACCTCCCTGCCCCAACCAACTATCAACCCCGCAGTATCACTACCATAATTTTTTAATACTTTATTTTCATACAGAAACTGAAATCACTCCTCAAGAAATTGGGTTCAAAGACAAAGTTAACAACACCATCACGACAACCGACCCTGCCACGAACCTCACCGCCACCGGTGATGTCACTGTGATCAAGTCTAATAAGACTAACGTCATCGAAGTGACAAATGGCGGCTACGTGACTTTCCCAGAAGACGTCTGCTTGCGTAATCTGGACAAGTGTACGTCTGGCTTCACTCTGACCCTGGTGGTCAACTGTGTCATTATCAGGGATGACAAGCTCCTCATTCTCACTTCTGGCGGGGAAGACAAAGGGAGCCAAGGTGAGGAGTTTACTTCCAGCTGATTATCAAGCAGTTGTTACTGTAGCTGTTGTTGTCGCTGTCGTTATTGTTGCTGTTGCTGACGCTTTTGCTGTTGTTGTTGCTATTACTGCTGGAGCTGATGCTGTTGTTGGTGGTGGTTGTGGTTGTGTTGTTGTTATTGTAGCTGTTATTGTTGCTGTTAGTATTGTTGTTGTGTTGTTGTTTTTATAGTTGTTGTTGTAGTTGTTGTTTTCATTGTTGTTAAAGCTGCTGCTGTTCCGATACTGTTTATTGCTGTTCCTGTTAATGTTGTTGCTATTGCTTCTGAACTGAGAAAAAAAACTACGAGCCCCGTGTTTTCAACTACGAAATACCAGTTCCCCCATCAGCACTTTGGTGGGATGAGACCATTTATTCTTTAAAATTATTTGATGAGCTAAAGAACCCAACACAGGATTCGAACATCAAACTCCTTGGAACTACATCAAGTTTGCGCCTGACAGCAAACTATTGGTTGGGTTTGTGTTAATAAGATATTTGTCTTATTTTCTTACAATACGTGTAAGAAACAAAATCTGTGATTTGAGTGAATACGAGATATTGCCCACGCCTGAATAATTCAGATTATTACAGCATTTTCATCTTCAACTTAGACAATCTTCATAGCGTTTAAAGGGGAAAGGGGGTAGATTTGCTCTCAGGCGAGGTGGATGACTTCTGCAGGCTCAGAATTAAGTCTGGGCGGTGTAATATTATTTTGCATAATACGTTTGAAAACCGTGTTTAACAATACTGTTATTCTTTCCTTAACCAGAACGGAGGGAATCAGAAATTACAACCAACAGTGTCTATATCATAACAAGTCTATGTTTCCTTTTTCTAGTGTAATTGGAATTATGCTTTTAATGAATTAATTCTTTCGGTATAGTACTTTTTAAAATATGATAGTTTACCAGTCAAATCACTTCTTGAATATTTCGGTACTAGTGGATTACTGTTGACTTTGATATTAATCACGGTATACACGTACTTGCAACGACTATTGCCTCGTAGGTTTGGGACTTCGAAATTGACTGTGATGAGTGAGTGATCACGATGAATTAAACGCAAAAATACTGAAAAGATAATGTAATATGCTGTATATTGGAGTTTTGTGCTAAAGTAGATAGCAAGTTCACAAATTTCATCCAAGTTTAGTATTACTATACTAGTAAACGCTCCAAAAGACCATAAAATGTTGAGACGCAGAACAAATCGTAGAAAAAGTAGGTATTTTAGTAAGCCTCCCCCACCACCTCTCTATTTCTATCTATCTATCTATCTATCTATCTATCTATCTATCTATCTATCTATCTATCTATCTATCTATCTATCTATCTATCTATCTATCTTTCTATATATCTATCCATCTATCTATCTATCTATCTTTCTATCAATCAATCTATCTATCTATCTATCTATCTATCTATCTATCTATCTATCTATCTATCTATCTATCCATTTATGTCTTTTATAAATTACCTACAATTACTGCTTTTAGTACTAAATAACGATATTATGTCAGGGTTCTTTCTTTACAGCACTTTTTATAATAACGTGAATATCTATCTTCCCAGGTCTCACGCTGGTGTACAATAAACTGACCCACAAGTTGACATTCACGGTACAGACAAGCAGCGTGACCTGGAAGTTGACCACTGGCCTGAAGTGGCTGGAAAACACGTGGTACAAGCTCACAGTAACATGGAGCCCTGCTGCTGGTTGCGGGGTAAATAGATTGATCCAATTGTCGTATAATTTGCTACTCTGGCCATATGTCTTAATGCATTGTGGAGAAGTCAGGAGCTCGCCAAAATAATGAAATTATTATTATTATTCCAACATTTTTCCCGCTTATTCGACATCGACAGTTTTTGGTGATTTTGTTTTCTTTTGTTTTCTTTTGTTTTTTAGGGGGGGAGGTTCAACAGCTTTTATGGTCATTTAAAGCATTTCGATGTGGATTGGAAAAAAAACGCTGAGTAAAGACACAGAAATGTAAATTTTCAGTTTCCAAGGACTTTCATGCTATGAAAGTCATCGAACTTTGGCGGCCATTTTCTCTCTCATATTACCTGTGGAACTTGGCGATCCCCTCCCCCTCCCCCATTACTTTATTCGCAAATATCTCACTTTTATTCAAGATTAATCGGTACTTTTACCTCTAAGTTTAGCAGACAAATGAACAAGCTTTAAGATGATACCAATAACTTTACATGCCCAAAAATTGACGACGGCCTGATTCCACCTCATCTTGTAATGGTGGAAAAAAATAATACAAATTTAACGGAAGTGAGGACTATAGAGGGAAGGGATACCAAACTGAAACAAGTAAGATTTTTGTTTGTTATAAAATTATTGTGGCATCCAGTAATACAACACATTCAAAAGTGCATTGTTTAACGATCAAAATTTAGGATAGGAAAGTCATCCATGAGAAGTAGAGGTATAGTGGATTGGATGGAGGAGAGTCGATTCTGACCAAATCATTCAAACGTTTTGGGTGTGTTATTTTCAATGTTTTTTTCTTTTAGTTTCTTGGAAGAAATACATCAGAATAAGTACTTTTAATAGTTCTGACTTCGCTAACAAATTTTTTTTTTAAATTATAAAATACACCCACTCACACGCGTGCGCACACTCACGCACGCACGCATCCACAAACGCACCCATGTACGCACGCACGCACGCACGCACGCACGCACACAAAAGCAAGCAAACAAACAAGCTAACCAAGAGATTTTTCGGTCAAGAAGCTGATAGGAAGACAGACGAAAAATAAAAGGGGTAACAACAAAATAATGGCTACTGTTGTTTAGAAATGAAATGATGCTATTTTTTCGAGAGATGTTTTCTTATAGAACGTAGTATTGGTCTTTGGTGTCAGTAATTATTAACTACGGCCAGTGTCTCGCTATATCAGGGTAAAATGTTGTCTCTCTTTTCTCTCTCTTTCTCCTCTGCAGCTAGTGGTAGACGGTGTTTTGACCGGGTCTGTATTTGGCGGGGTCGTGACAAGCTCAGGCACCTCTTCCAAACCACTATGTCTGGGTTGTAGCTACGTCAATACCAAAATCACTTCTACAATCCTCATCAAGATCATCTCTACTACGCACGTGTACATCAAAGATTTAGTCAAGGCTGATGTTGTAGGTGAGTTATATGATGTGGCGGGATAAGATCATAGAATTTGAGACTTATATATTTTACTCAAATTATAAGGAATCTTTTTGAAATGACAACTTCTGATGTCGTTGTTGGTGAAGTTAACAATTTTGTTGTTGTTGTTGT